CCTGGAACTTTGGTCGTAGACGAGAGATAGTTTTCCAAATAGTTGCATTTTGTAGAACTCGTCGAGTTCTATCACATCAAACATATGTGGTCCAAAAATATTGCATCTNGAGAGAAACTATGCCAGGGCCCGCGAAGGCCCGGATTACAAGTATGGAAAACCGAAGAAGTTTATAAATAAGCTCCGCCCCTTTTCTTTCGATCCGCTCCACGTTGCTTCTGATCCGCCTTATGTCGTTCTTTCATCTGACGATCCCGACCACCCGTATAGCCATCAGAACTACCACCGCCCCGTGACACACCTCCACGTCCACCAGATCCACGATTCTGACCACCACGGCTCCCCCGATAGCCTCCAGAAGATCCGCCACGTGGATTTGAGAGTCCGGGTGGAGGACCTCCTGGAAGGGAAAAGGATTGGGGTCCGGCGCTGTCTTCCTCTTCTGATGACGTTTCCAGTTCTTGGCTAAATATTGAAAAAGTTAGAAAAACTCGTCTTTTTTTTTCTCCCAAAACTTACTTCAATCTTTCCACATTGAATTCTCTTCGATCATACTCATCATCATATTCATCATCATAGACTCCGCCCCTTTCTTCATCTGACCCCATCGTTTCATATCGGTATTTATCATATGTCGGTCGAATTGCAACTCGATCCGCTTCAGAAATTTTCAACGAATTCAGTGCTGAATACTTTTTCGAAGTGGCCAATGGCACCAAATTTTCAGCATCAACCGCGATTTTTTCACTGGAATTTTCAGCGTTTCTCGAGGAATTTTTGAGCTTTTCCAGTTTCGTGAGAACCGAGGTACGGTAGGCAAGAGCACGAGCACGAAGTTCGGCTTGTTGATCGATTGGTGGCGATGGAGGACGATCGGAGAGAATTGGAGCCAGTGAGAAGAGGCTCATCGACTGCTTCTTTTCCTGCGTTTTTCTCATCTCCTCATCTCTCTTCTTCTTCTCTAATCTCACTGATTTCTCAATTTCATCAGATGCCGTAAAATCCAATGGTGGCCATTCTCCAGATCCGACTCCAGATTTTAGTTCCACATTTTCCAAACGGATCAGTTCAATTGGAAGATCCTCACGGGATAGAAGCCTTCCAAGAGTGGCTTCCGAGTCGTAGGAGAAGTGACGGAGGGCGAGCTGAAAAATATCATTGATAATGATAATGGCCATCTTAGATCCCTCACATGAACGATTTCCGACGAAAAATGCGGCAAGATCTCTCGAATCGATGCGATTTGAGCTTTGACAAGATCGTCTAATGGATTTCCCAAATTTTCCAAATATCCACACTTTCGGAGACGTTCGATTGTTTCCACTTCCAGACGTCTTCTGGAATCTTCGATTGACGTTGAGATGAGTTTTGGAGAGAATTCGGTGAGCACTTCAGTGTGACCCAGTTCGGCAGCGTAACCGACGAATCTGTAAAAAATATATTCCAAGTGAGAATTATTAATTTTCAGTTTCGTTTTTGTTGAAATTAGGTCCCTTTACCCAGAATCTTTAGAAAGTTGAATGGTTTTTTTAACGAAAAATCTCACCTCGATGCTTTTTCCAATTCCTGTCTGACTCTTTCTCTAACTTTGTACTTTGTAGTCGGTGCCATTTCCACAAACACTTCAATCATTGATTGAAGCGCAAATCGCCGGGCCATGAATACTTTTCTGGAAACAGGATATTTCAAGATTTAAACTCCTTCTCATGCTTGCGACGTTGCCGGGCCTTCGCGGGCCTTGCCATAGTTTCTTTTAGAATCTATATTTTTAGACTGCCTAATGATCCTATTTGGAGGATTGTGTCTTGTCTATGAACAAAGTTACAGACAAAAAAAAGAAGACCGGCCCGGCGCCAAAAGGCCGAGCCACTTTATGACTTGTAACTTTGTTCCTAGACAAGATACACTTTTCCAAATAATATCATTTTTTAGTACTCGTCGAGTTCTATCATATCTGACTTAGTTGGTCTAAAAATATTGATACCAGAAGAAACTATTGCAAGGCCCGCGAAGGCCCGGCAAAGTCACGATTCGCAAGTATGCTTATTTTCGAATTCCCGCCAGTTCAAAAGCGCCAACCTCAATGGGAATCCATCCAGTGCCATTGCCAGATCGAACATTGTTGGATAGTCATACGAATTGGTGACTTTTTCGAAAATCTCCGGAATTCGAGTCATCCAGATTTTGGAGACTTTCAGTTGACTGTTCTTTTCCAGAAATTCGGTGATTTTTCGAGCATTTTTCACCGCTGCTCCGATTGCCACAAGCACTTCAATACATAGATTCACGTATTTTGGACGACCTGGAGAATCAGAATCCGACAGTTCGAATTGCGGTTTTCCATAGTTGAGAAGACGTTTGAATTTCTAAAAATATAGCTGATTTCTTTATGGATTTTTCTAACTTTTAAACTGATATAATCTGCAAATTCTCATTCAAGAACCCCTGAATTTTAATCAGTTACGTAGACAAGTGTTATAGCTCTTTATCGATGATAAGCTATAACAATCTGGATATGATCTTGTCATATTTTCCAGGTTTATCAATTCATGCTGAGCAATCCCAATGCTTCATCTGAACAGAGGCTTTATCCATTCGATTCGTCTGAACCAGATGAAGATTAATTCTGCATGGATTGCTCAGCATAAACTGATCCTGGATAATTTGGCAGGATCATATCCAGATTGTTATAGCTTATCACTGATAAGGAACTAGATCACATGTCTACGTAGCTGGTGAAAATTCAAATTCGGATTTCAAAAACAGCAAATCACCTTATCAAAAGCCACAAAATAATAATCAATATCATCTTCAGTAATGGTTCTTGTGTCCAACGCCTTTTTGAAGATTTCCTTCGCTTCTTCAGCCTCTCCAATCAACGAAAATGAATCAATCAAAGCGAATTTCTGATAATCCGGACTCTTTTTCCATCCGTTTTCCATCAAAATCGGCATTATTTTCAACAAGTTCGTCAATAGATTCTGATGAGCAATCTTCAACGAATCCTTCGATTCAATCGCTGAAAACCTGAAGACGTCAGATTTCCGAGGCAACGACGCGACGACGGGGTTGAAGATGTCCATGAGTCCGCCTTCTTTTCGTGCCAATTTCAGAGATATTTGATGGGTTACTGTATCGACGCTGGCTTCCCATAACGAGAGATCATTATCATCGGGGAGAGCACAGATTTCGATTAGACGCATCTTGGGCTGAAAATAGCTAAAGTAACTGAATTCCAAATGAAAATTATAAGAAAGCCAATGGTGAAAACCAATATAAAAGCAAAGTTTTAACACATGAACTCAAAAAAAATTCATTTTTCAAAGATTATAAGTAAAAAAAAAACAAGAGAAATAACAACAAAAAGACAACAATTTAGGTGTATAAATGAGCTAAAGTCAACAATTTAAAAGAAACAAAATATAGGGAAGCAAAAACATCTCCTAATATTTCTTATTTCTTCCCATTTTATGCGTTTTCTCATGTTCTTCCAATGGTGGCCACATCATTGTAACTGTCTGATGAATGGATTCTGGAACCCATTCCAAATACTCTTCCAGCAGCCAATTCTCATTTTTCAGCCATTGCTCCTTCAGCGACGCACGTGTGGTGACCTGGATTTTTTTTTGAAACATTTTCGACACAATGAAATGCTCACCTCCTTATCAATCAACTTATTCAACAATGCTTCTGTTCGTTTCTGCAATTTCGCCCATGATTTGACCATCGTGGAGGGCGGAGCCAAGAGTTTTGGTTAAAGTCTTTCAATTTCTCAAAAACCTGTCCGTCCAGAAGGAATACCGCAAAATATCGGTACTTCATGATATCATGGGGCACGGGACGATTCTCGTTGGGCAGTTCCCAGCCCAACGGTCCAAAGGCCACTTTTACCGTTTTCACAACGGCGTCCTTAACAGAATCATAAATTGGCTCCTGATTTTTGTCTTGCTCTCCAAATCGACACCAAGATTCTGCAAGACGACTGATCCATTCCTTGTCCACAGCGCACACCGATGTCATCAGCTTCTTTTCGTTCACCTGAAATTATTTCGGTTTTTGAGATAAATTGTTTTAAACTCACCTGAACCAATTCCTGATAAATCACAAATTCTGGCTCTTCGGTGAACAGAACGGAGCATGGATCAATGAATACATGCTCTGTGATGAGTGTCGTCTCGTAGGCGCCCTTCTGTACTTCCTCCGGGCCAACAGAACGATCGACACGACGAGCGAGACGATCCGAGAAGCTGGCGACGACCATTTGTCTGAAAATTTGAACATAGTACTTTTTGAATTTGTTTAGAGTGACTTGGAGATAATCCAGAGCATGTTTTTAGCAGTTTTGAACCAGTTTTAGATATTCTTAGTAATAAAAAATATAATTGAAACATTGTCGGGTCATCAAAAGACAATTATAGCTTTGAGATGTTTCGGGCTCTTCTTATCAGTCAAAACTCACCTCAACAACTGTGCCTGCTGATCTGTTGGTGGTGGAAGATCGGCGTCCAACACAGCGACTTGATCCTTTTTACACGACGCATTTACAATGTTCGTGAGCTGTTGACGGAGTTTTCGCGCCTCGACGAGCGCCTTCACTCGTAGACCGACTTTTTCACATTCTCGAGCGTTATACTGCAAAAATGGATGGAATTTTTGTTAGGCACAATGTTGTGGGAAATTTCGTAATACTAGATTTTTTGCGAGTTTCTCTGTGTGTCGATTTGTCAAGCTGTCCACAATTTTAGATTGCTCACCTTAACCTGTTCAGCTACCGTAGCCGCGTGCACCAGAACTTTTAGATCGCCCAATCGACGAGCTCCTGTCTGTGAGCACCATTTTCTTCTCTCTTTTAGTACGGTCTTCATTAATTCCTTGGTTTCTTCTGGAGTCGATCCACGTAGTGATGAGACTGGGATCAACGGTTCGCGGACTGAGAATAAAGCAGTTTTAGATTTGAAATACATTTAAGAAGATTAAAAAACCCCACCGGAAAGCATCGAAATCAACAAAATCGCATGACTCATCAAATCGTGTTGATCGGCCATTGCGATGAATTTAGCATAGGACGGTGCCAATGGAAAAACTGCCAGCGTTTTTCCCAACTTCGTAATTCGAGCTACAGTACTCCCATTGGTTGTAGTATTTTCCGAGAGGGCTCCAAGACGAATTAGCCGCTTTTCAGCCGCTTCAAGCATTTGCTCATCTGGAGCAGATGGGAATGGAAAATTGACAACTTTCACGATATTCATTGTTTTCAAATGGAGCACTAGCTGATCTGCAGGCTTTGATAGAATCTCTGGATCTGCGAATTTTACAAAATCCTGATAAACAGCCGACGAGTAGAGACGATAAGCATGGCCAGCTGAGATTCTTCCAGCACGGCCCGCTCGTTGATCGGCTGATGCTTGAGAGATTCGGCAGACGGCGAATCGAGAGACTCCAGTGATAGAATCGTAGAGACGACGCTTCTCGAAGCCACCGTCGATGACGTATTTGACGCCTGGGATAGTCAGGGAGGTCTCAGCGACATTTGTAGAAATGACACAAAGACGCATTCCAGCTGGCGTTTCATCGAAAACTCGTCGTTGTTTTCCCATGGAGAGGAGAGAGTAAAGTGGAAGACAGTAGAGAGGTTCACAATCGGCTGGTGGTGGTCCGACGAGGTTCTGGAAAAATAGAGAATGCATCTTTTAGAATATATTTGCATAAAACCTGTAATAGATGCGTGCCTACACTGTCATGTTTGAGCTCAATTATTTCAATACCTTTACAAGATATCAAAAATGTGTCAACTGATAAAACACTTCTGATTGTATGATAAAAAATTTATCAGTTGACAGTTTCCTTATATTTTCAACAAGAACCGAGATAAATTGGCGCAAAGTGAACAGTGAGGGGCCCTTTTATTACAGGTTTTACGGTATCTCGTTTCAGATACTTCTAAATTTTAAACTTCAATTATTACCTCAACTCTGCCATTCTCCAAATCCCCATCGCCATTCTCAAACTCCTCATAATCATCGAACGCCTCAGCAGCTCCTCTCTCGTTCATATCATCTCCATCTAGCACATTATCTTCGTCTTCACGCAGATCGTTTTCTGGCGTTTCTTCTGAAAACCTCTTTTTTGAAGGGACTTCTAAAGAAAATCTCACCTTTAAAATCCTCCAACTTGATATTCTTTGCTGCCTCCGCCTTCTTCTCCTTCCATTCCTTGGTTCCTTTCACCAAAACCTCTCCATTCTTATCCATTTCATAAATCACTGCATATCGCTTTTTGAGTTTTGTCATTAGCTGTCGAACCTCGTTTTGACCGGTGACGAAGATCAAAATGGCTCCTGGAGGAAGAGTTTCGTGGATTCGACACGTTTTTCGGAATGCCGAGGAGATGTAGTCGTCAGGAGTTCGTTTCTCGAAATGAATGGATACAGGGAATTGACGAGCATCCACTTTGATCACTTTTGGGGTTAGAAGAGGGAAGAGTCTGAAAAATGAGCCATGGTTGGTCTGAAAATCATTTCAAACAATTTCTCTCACTTTTTATGTGTAAAATCGTCCAATCTGAGTGTAGCGGACATGATAACCAGACGCAATGGACGTGGAGTATTGGCACGAAGTGGTACGATTCTCGAGAGCATTCCAATCAACACATCACTGTACATTGAGCGTTCGTGAGCCTCGTCGATTAAAATAACCGAGTATCTGCGAATTTGAGAATTTTAAATAGTCTTTGAAACTATATTTTTCATTTTGGCCGCTTCAGGAATTTTTGAGAGATTATTCTTCAAAGGAAGCATAGGAACAATAAAATTCCCGGCTCTTCAAATACAAGTTTTACGGGATTTGAATCTTTTCAGATCGATTTTCGACTGTTTGGATCGTTTTAAGTCATTTTAAAAAGCGATTTTTGAACACTCCAGCTCACTTTTTCAACATAACATCCTGTTCCATCTCCTTCATCAACACTCCATCAGTCATAAAAAGAATATTGGTCTCTTTGGATCGTGTTCCTTCATATCGAATTTGATACGATACATTTTCTGGTTTTCCCAATTCCACGCCGACTCGCTGAGCCATTGCAATCGCCGCCACACGTCGTGGCTCAGTGATGCCAATCAATTCTCCTTCTGATGCATATCCAGCTTCATAGAGAAACTGTGGAATTTGAGTCGTTTTTCCGGAACCAGTCTCTCCGCAGATTACCGTAACCTGGAACATTGAAAATTCAGGATTAGAGAATCTAGAGATCCAGGAATCTGAAAATTTTAAAATTCAAGGTTTTCGAAAATCTGAAACTCAAAAAATCCTTCAAATCCATTTTTTTCTTCATAAATTCCTCTCTGGAAAATTTCTCACCAAATTCTCATTGATCGCCTCTACGATACGCATCTCTTCGGCAAAAATCGGCAATTCCGCTCTGGATTTTTGAATTTCTTCGCTTCGTTCAACGAGAAATTTCTTTCGATTGATCACAGTGGTCGTGGGGAGCTGAAATTAGATTTTTGAGGTTTTTCAAGGGAATTTATTGTTGGAAAAAACTAAAAAAACTTTTTTTCCAAATTTGTGATTTCTAAGCTTTAAATCCGCATTTTCCAATTTCTTACCGCCAAAATATCCTCATCGTCGGATTCTTTATCATCCTCTCGTTTCACCACGAAATCCTCTGAATTTCCAGAATTTTCCGGAACTTTCACTTCTTCCACGTCAACATCATCCACGTCAATCGGTTCGATTTTGATTTCTTGAACAACTTCAGGAACGTCTTCTTCTTGTTCTTCCTCCTCAGATGACGTGGATTGCTCATCGTCGGTTGGATAGTAGTCCTGCTGAACGCGTTTCTCATCGGACTTCTTTTTTCCAGAAAACACTTTCAGCTTTTCGGGAAAATTTGGAGTCCTGAGAATGAGATTTTTTATAGAATTCAGGTGAAAATGTCTTTTCTTGCAAAAAATCAACTGAAAAATAAAGATTAGAGAAAAAAAAACCATACTTTTCTTCTTTCTGCGAGATTTTGGTACTAGAAGTAAGCTGATTCATTTTTGAAGGGTCCAATTGAACTTCGGCAAGTCCAGCGAATAATTCTTCTTGCTGAAAAATATTGAAAACTCGAAAAATATCATTTCAGGGTTGAAAATTGTGAATTCTGATAAAAATATACAAAATCTCATGTTTTTCACCCCTTGAAACATACAGTTTGCTTCAAAGCTTTCCTAGCTTGCACTGCAGCCAATTTTCGTTTCGCCTGCTTCGTCAACTTGGCCTCCTCCTTTTCTTTTGTGAAGTTTCGATTCTTTTTCCCACCGGTAGCCGACTTCTCGCCACTTTTTTCGATTTTCTTCCGTTTTTCACCTATAAAATTGCATACTTTGTGCACTTTTACTAGATTTTTCTTGCTACCTGGAATAATCATCAACTCATTCGCGTCATATTCGTCTCCGGAGTCCTCTTGTTTCGTTTTTCGTTTTCCCATGTTTTCTGAAATTGCTTAGTGTAAAAATGAGAATAATAAGGTGGAATTTGAGCGGGAGAGAAGCGAGAAAAGGCTGAAAAATAAAATCTCAAAAAATTAACAGGAATGCAAGCGCGCCCCACTGCATGTCACTTTTCGGCGCGAGTTTGAAATTAGATGGTTCTTCAACCCTTTTTCGATTTATCATTTTTCAAGTAAAAACAATATTTTTATTGATAAAAAGTTAACAAGTATAACAAAATAACAATTAACGACAAGAATGACAATATTCCTGGCTCGGTCCCTCTTGATAGCGGCGGTGCTGGAAGTATTGGCCGCACTTTTTGCACCAACAGTCATCAATATCGTAGTGATGGCCTCCAGAACGACTTCTGACGCCACTTGTCCGCCGACTCCGCCTCCAACTCCTCCGAAGATTCCGCCGATCAATCCACCAACAAGAGTTCCAACACCAGGGAAGATTGCTGTTCCGATGGCGGCACCTGGAAAAAAAAGCTTCTGTGATTTTTTGAAAAAAAGACAAATTCTAACCTGCTCCACATCCAGCAAATCCTGCAGCAGTCGCTACCAAAGTCGATACCGTTTTTTCAATTGTGTTACGGCTTGAATGGTTCTCGATGTCTTTTTTGACTTCACAGCCGATTTGATAGGCATCATAAGCCACAGAAGCGACCATAACCACTGGAGCGACTTTGTTAATTACATTAAGAACATGACCAGCAGCTCCAGCAGCTTGCGCAGAGGCTCCGGAAATTTTAATGTGTGGGTCTTTGACTCCAGTGATTGCCTTATTCACATTAATATGATGAAATGGAACCTTTCCGTGTGGGGCGTCGACTCTCGCAAACCACTTTGGATTCCCGCGAGCTGACTTGACGGTCTTATCAAAAACATTGACAACGTTGGTACGTCGGCCACCAACTTTTACGGCATAATGAATGGCATTTTTTGTGGCGCCGACAGCTCCACCTTCGAGAGCGTGATTCAGAATATTGTTGTCCTGAAAAACCGACCATTTTATCGCTAATGACTTTAAAAATTTAGAGCTCACCTTATTTTGCTTATGTGACATCTTCTCTTTTGGCTGGGAGTCCGACATTTTTAGAGAATCAATTAGGTTGAAAATTTACTGCAAAAATCGCGCTGGAAATCTATTGTCAATTCAAAAAGATCGCACCGGTGAACACACAAACAAACAAGTAAACAAGGGGGCGGAGCGATCCGCCCCTTTTCGCAAAGGCGCCGCGCAGTTTTCGACGGTATTTTAGCGATGCCGTTTTTTGGTAATGTTTCATCGAATTTATTCCTAATTGAAGGAAATTCGTCGATTTTTTTCTAATTCATCCATCATCTGATAAGAAAAATCGCCTTCTGGTATCACAACTATGAAGAAGTGTTGAATAATCTGCGGTTAGTCGACAAATTACTCTAAATACTTCTCCGATCGAGTTTTTCAGGTTTTCAGGAAACTTTGCACTGATAATTTATGTTTTATGTGATCTCGAAGCTTTTCTACTTCTTATTCTCATCATTGCAGGATTCGATACGTCACATGGTCTTGCTCTTTTCATTTTCACCCTGAATCAAAGAATAGTGTTTCCCAATTGTGTTTCTGAGTTTTTATTAAAATAAAGTTATCCTTCACAAAATCGACGAATTTCCTTCAATTCGGAAGAAATTCGATGAAACATTACCAAAAAACGGCATCGCTAAAATACCGTCGAAAAACTGCGCGGCGCCTTTGCGAAAAGGGGCGGATCGCTCCGCCCCCTTGTTTACTTGTTTGTTTGTGTGTTCACCGGTGCAATTTTTTTGAATTGACAATAGCATTGTCAAGATCCACTGGTAAATTTTGAATTCGCGCCGCTTCACTACTGTAATCAATATTACGACAAATTGCAGAAAAAGATGAAGCCCAATCAAACAATTTATTATTTTTCAAATGTTGGAAAAGATAGTTTAGATTTGCACATAAATATTGCAAATTCTTGAGGGAAGAGAAAATTGATGTTTTAAAAAGGAAAGGGATCCCGTAAAAGAAACCAATGGAAAATGGGAGGGGAAGGTGAGGAATTTGGGGGCGGTATAAGTCACAATTTTAAAGCAAACTGAATTGTCTAGAACTTTAGAATTAGTTATCCAATCGATTATTGATTTCCAACGACCACATCCGGCTGTGGTGTCACCAGAACCCAGGATTCAGTGAAACGAAGGGCTGGCTCAGACCATTCTTTCAGTTTATACATTCCGTTGGTTGTAATAGACAAGAAGAGTCCGGTTTTGGCGAAGTAGTAGAATGGAACACCGGGAAGTGCCGAGAAGTCAAAAAGTGAGACGATGGCGTAGAGGATCCAGTAGAGAAGAATGTTGTCCGTTGGAGCCTTTTGCTGGCGGAGAATCTGGAAAACTTGATTTACAAGAAATCAAAATCTCTCATTTCTCTACCTTGAAGCTCTCCTTGACTGGCCAGAAGACGCAGATGATGTGAGAGAACAATGGCAAAAAGTTGCCGAGGAGCACGTAGATGGAGAGCATGAGGATCGACATGGACACAATCTGCAAAGGTGCTCTATTATCTCGGTTTGTGTGATAGTTATAAAAAATTGTGAACTAATAAAATGTGTGAAATTTCAAACCAAAAGTCTTAATAGTTTATAATTTTTGATATCTCTTTGAGACCTGAGATAGTTAGGGTTGAAGTGACAACACAGCTACAGTAATCCCCCCACAAACATACTAACCCTTTCTCTCGGAATTCCAGAGAATTTTTCCGCCTGAGTGAACGTCTTCTCCTTCCAGTCCTCCTTGTTTTTCGGTTTGAGATAGTCGTTGATCTTGGCTTCAAGTGTAGCAAGAATAGCTGCCATTTCTGATGGTTGGCTGAAAATTTGGTAGGAATTAGAAATTTTTACAAGAAAAGATGAAAGGGAAACGGAAAAGCGGTGGGTGATAAAATGCATAAAACAGAGCAGAGAAAAGGAAAAGCCAACGAATAAAAAAAGAGGGAGAGAACGATCTGAATATTCATGAGAAAAAAAGAAAAATGAATCGTAATTCGTTTCTGCAACAATATTGTAATTTACGAAGTGCCGTAGTTTTGAACCGATTAACTCGGTTCTTGTAAAAGATATCAAAAAGTGTTCAACTGACAAAATACTTCTGATACTATGAAAATCATTGCATCAGTTATCAACTTTTTCATATCTGTCATAGGAAAGGAGATGAATCAGCTTAAAAGTTAGTGCCCTCTAGAATCTGTTTTGCTCAACTCAATCACTCAAAAAATTGTTGCGAAACACTATTAATTTTTCTTCCTTATCAATTTTTTCTTGTTGAAAAAAAATAATGGCGGTCAGTTATTTTGACAGAGAAGAAAAATATGAAAAAGATAGGTGAGAGGAAAAGCAAAGCACACTGTTTTCATGTTTGTTTGTTCTAGGAGGCAGTTTTGAACGGTTTGAGGAGGCAATGACGGAAAATACAGGGAACGGAGGAAGAGAGTGAGAGGGTTAGAGAAGAGGAGGATCCAATGAAGATCTGGTATGAGTCAGCAACTAGGATTAGATGAGCAGGATCTTTGGAGAAAATCAAAATGTACAGTAACGCTAGAACACTTTATAGTGAAGAAACTTCTCTAATAGGTTAAGCAACGTGGACTAATACACCTAACAATTTCATAATTCACCTAAAATAATTCTTGAGAAATTTGAATATCTAATTGCAACTGGAAAGTACCAAATTCTCTTTTATCTGTTCCAACAGAGATTACTGAGCCGGGGGGATATAACATTTTTGAGCATGAAATAAGTTACAGTATCCTTTTGATACTTGCCATGGTTTGATTCAAGCGAATGCTCGACGGATACTGTAACTCGCTTAAAACTCAACATTTTTGACCAAACTGAAGTGTGGAATGTAGGATTGAACTAGTTCTACTAAATGATATAGTACTCAATAAGTCTTGAATATTAGTCGTTAGAGTAGAAGACATTCAAATTAAGGATCAAGGAGTACGGTACTATACCCCTCCCCAGAAAATGCGAAAATCGATAGAGTGGGGAGAGACTGAAGACATGTTAGGAAGATAGACTCAATTAATAGACTACGGACCATCCCCACAATTTTGTGAATCTCGCATAGTAGGGGTGGGGAAGATCGGTTGAGGAGATTAATGAGTTCACATCACAGTGGGGCGCATTTGCATAATTACACTAGACGTTTTTTTTTAATTGGGTGATGGTCATATCGATGAGGTATAGGGTTGGTAGAACCAAGATGGAGAGAAAGGCAGAACCATACAGTACTGTTCAAAAAACAGAGGATCTCCAGATCCGTCCTTTTCCAATTTTTCTAAAAGTTACTAACTACAATTATTATTTTGAAACTCCTCTTCAGCGCAATTGAGCAATTCAGAAGGACCTGTCAAGGCCATCAAAGTTGATTGTCAAAAAAAAATCTAATATCAATCGATCTTTGCCATGTACTGTATACCTTTCTTTCATCTTATGCCTCACTATCTAGAGCATCTCATTATAAAGAGAGGGCACCATCTGCTGACCCCTGTTCTTGTTCCTCCATTTGCCATCTCTCTCTCTCTCTCTGTGCACCAACAGTCATTTGCACCATGTCTTCTTCGTCTGCCCTTCTAAATCTTGTCTGTTCTCTCTTGGTCACCCATAATCTCTACAATTATAAATGTAGGCTCGCATCATACAACGACACAGCCAATGTAGACGTGGTCCTCGTAGATAAGGCATAGGTGGGGATTGAGAGTTAGGGTCATTCGAGAGTGAGAAGACATAATGGACGAGAGTAGAGACAGAGACGTAGGAGGATAGAGAACAGAAACGTTTGGCACTCCACGCGCGCTTGCCTTACCCATCGTCCACATTGCTAGGCATTTTTCTCCCCTTTCTCCGCATGTTGTTGCAATTGATTTTTAGCATTTTTAGATAGGTTCTTTTTCCGATAAAACGATATTCTTGTTGTCTCCCCATTCGTAATACTTTATCTTCACCACAGAATATTCCAGAACCATGCCTTCGTGTGAGATCAAGATCAAGTTCAAAGACAGCAATGAGCTAATCACTCTCACAGATGCGGAGGTCATCAAGAAGTTGCCAGTGATCGAGAGAGCTATCTCGTGCAGTGTAAGCAAATGTCCCAATTCAGAATTTTTTTCGAAAGATACTTTCCGAAAACTTTCGAAAATCTGTTCGAAAGTAACGAAAATCACTACTGGTCTCACCAAGCAGCAGTATGTGTTTTTCGAAAGATATTTTTCAAAAACGGGTGAATTCGAAAAAAATTCGAATGTTCGTTCCACGGCCTCGCGGAAGGGAACCTAAATTTAAAAATTGGAAAGCGCGCCAATTTTGGACGCGTTGTGCGATCGCGTCGCGGCTTTTCGGTGAGTAGCGACTCAACAACGCTTAACTTCACGTTTTTTTCAAAACACGTTTTGAAATTTCGAATCTGGCACGCAGCCAACTTTTGTGTGCGACGAAGCGCGCGTTTTTCAGGTTCAAAACCGCGATGCCGTGTCGTTCGAACAGTTGTCGAAAATTCGCTCGAACGAATTTCGAAATTTTCGTTCGAACCACTGAACTGGGCTCAGTACATTTTAGGCCATTTTAGGCCTTATCATGGTGGCCTAACTTTTGCAAGTTGGGTTTTCTAGGCCACTACGTTCAAATGAGCTAGAAAACAAATTAGATGAATATCAGACCATTTCTAGGTCATTTCTACATAATAACCTAGAAAACTTAACTTGCGAAAGTTAGGCCACGAAGTCAAAATGACCTAGAAAACCGACCAGGGTTATATTAGTCAATTTCTAGGCCAAAAAGCTGGTGACCTAGAAACCCCAACTTGCAAAAGTTTGGGTTATCCAACTCTTTTCCTCACATGAGATCGGGTGTGTGATTTTCGAAATTTTTTAAAACCACGTGAATAAAAAATTTGGAAATTTTCAACTATTCCAGTCTTCTTTAACAATTTCTGAAATTCCAGGACTTCGACTGGGAGGAAAAAGACTTCAAAATGGATCAGCCTACCGGGTTAGACTTCCCGAAACACGCCGGAGAGTTTCTGTTGGCCCATCTCGACAAATACAAACGTGTCTCCCATGAAGAGGCTTCGAGCGTCAACCCAGCTGAGAGATTCCCGGAGGCCTATGCTCTGTCACTCGACCAACTCAGACCATGCCTCGAATTGGCCAATTACTTGGAGGCAATCGATTTCATGCACTGCATGGGATTCGTCATCGCTAAAAAATTGGAGAAGTGTACCGTCGAGGAGTGCGCCGCGTTCTTCGGTGTCCCACACGATCCGAATGCGAACTACTTCGATGAGTCTTCTGGATATGTTCAAGTTCCAGCAGCTAACCAGCCATCAAGCAGCAATGCATAATCTCTTATTTTCATTGTCCAAATTGTACACTGAATCAATAATTTTGCATCATCTCAGGAATATCGTCTGTGAAGTTCTTGAAACCTCTTCCAGACTGTAATCCCATCTTTCAATTCCCCACTACTAGGTGCACTCTCACCTACTATATCTCCCCATGATCCCCCAAAACACTTCTTTCATACCAAACACCCACCCCCCCCCCCCCACCAAAGTTTCAAAAATGCAATAAAGCTAATTAAAAGCAAAAATGATTTTCTCGAATAACCTAAAAAGGATAATTTGGAATAAGATACAATATGGAACCTGAGGCTTTGTTCAACTGATTCAAAATCTCCTGTCCAAAAAACCGAAACACTCCAAGATGATTATTTTCTTATTGGTTTTCTATAACTTAAAATGTTCTAAATGATCAGTTTTAGTTGAAATTAATTCCAGGTTTTTAACTACTGGAAGACGCTTCAGACCCAAATTTCATGCTGAAATAAATTGAACAATGTAAAACTCAAGAATGAATCCACAAAGGGATTAACAATTTGACATTGGAGCCGTTTTGCCGGGAAAAAAAGATATTCGAAGCCGTTTAAAATTTCATTGTCCCAAAATTAGACCTACAAAAAATTTGAAAGGTTTCCCTCAAAATTTTTGTGCTTAACCTGTAGAACATTTCAAGAGTTGCATTAGCCTGCTTGTTCGTATCAAAAATTTAGAGTTTAAATCTAGTTATTTATGATCCAATAGCCGTAGTCCGCTTCACGGATTCTTCTAGGGCGGCTCAGGGGTGGCTCATGGGCGTTTTAGACCTTATTCTCGAAAGAACTGGTCCCAGTTCCTTTGATTGGTCTAGTTTCAAACATCTTTTTGTTTTGTTCTCTGCCCGTTATCAACGTCACAATCCAAACGAAGGACATGTTTTCAGAATTTTCAGCGACTTTGTACTTCAACAATATTTTTAATCTCTATTTTATATTTGAATTTTAACAAAATTTGTATGTATGAGGCACAAACTGATGCTGAAGAGGTTACAGAGAATCGAAAGACATGGGTAAAAGGTTGAGAGATAAAAGGTGGAGCTTCTGACATTATTTTCTTAATGGGTGGTATTTGAGAGTCCTATCAATACTCGGCCAGTTTCAGGAGTTGTTCATAGTTTTACTTTTCGAGATATCATCTAGCCTGAACCACATGTAAGAGTATATTAACATTGAGCCAATTTTTTTTCGATTCTTGTCAAAGATTAAAAAAAGTTGCCAACTGATAAATTGTTTATCAGGATATTAAAAATATTTTATCAATTGACACATTTTAGATATTTTGCGTAGGAGCCAAGAAAAATAAGCTGAAATTTTAGAGAGTGAGGTCCCCTACTTCAGGTTTTACGGTATCTACGGCTTGTGGTGAAGCTTCACGATTTTCCTGTAAATACATTAATCGTCAAAAACTGACCTAGAGACATAATTTCCGTAAATTTCCTACTACGATTAAGTCTTTAAAAAAAAGACAAATCAGTAATTGACAGTACTGGTAATAAGTGATAAGCCTCCCAGAAGTTTGCTTCCAAATAAATCCAGCGAAGATTTTTCCGAGCACACCTATGAGCAATAAATTTACCCATCACCTCATAGGAAGGCGGATTAAACGTTTAGGCGATCCTCTAGATCCTCAATATCCTGTTAGCATTGACTCGATGAGTCAAAGCAGCAATACATGGCTTCATAGTTTTGACCCGGAACTAAATTTGGTAAGAGTACAACCCCTAGGGTTTGAGGCATAGGATTCCAGGAAGCTATTACCAAAAAGTTGCTTCTAATTGTGTTTAAAGTAATTCCATAGAATTTGCGAAATGATTCGAAACTTTTTGAATAGGAAACTAACAATTACAGACAGAAGTCCTAGCATATATGACGTCTTTTGTGGAAGTTGCTGAAAGCAGAAAGTATATTTTGCAATATGTCCCTTGCGTGCATCAAGTCTAACAGTGTCTTTATTTTTATATTTTTAAATACCTCCAACACCAAGCCATGGATTTTCGAAAGTTTCAAAGTCAGAAAGGATCGCTTCGAAATCCAAAAGAGCATCAAAGATTTCGAAAGAGCTTTTTAAGCCTCTGCGGCTAGAGATTCATAACCTTGATTAGTTTCTGTAAAAGCTTGCGGAGTGTGTATAAGATGTTTATCCTAGGATTTTCTGGAAAAAGTTTTTTCTCGGAAACAAAAACATATGAACCCTCATGTAGCCCCACTGAGTTTCAGGTTTCTGGAAAAATGACCGAGTCTGTATAGTTCTAAAATTAGTGCTACAAACTCAGCTACGCGGTATGGACCTGAAAGTGTCAAGTTTCAAAACTTCCCTTAACACTAGTCAATTCTGCCTAAAATTTCCACCGCTTTCCAAAAACCGCTATCATCAGTTACCATCTCTAGCGCCCTTTTCCGCGGGTCTTCTGCTATCCATCCTAGCCATTCATCTTCTTCTTATTCCCGAGAATTTTATTCCTTTGGATCGGTTGCGTCTTCTCTAGACACATGCCGTAATCGTTTTTCGGCGGCGGTCTAGGATTCTCTCTTCTTCTTCCAACTAGGTTAAATCGAGAGTTGCGCAATCCTCGGAATCGGCGGATCTTTTCTATTCCCTCGTCTCGTCGTCTCGCTCTATGTTTATTTTCAACGACCCCATGGCTATTGCGATGGCTACGATTGCGCGAGAAGCTGACCTGTTGGCCCCATTTCCGCATTTCGACGCCTCTCTTCCCGAGCGGAGAGGATCATCCGGAGAGGTACTTTGAGCGGTCACGTCATCTTGGCTTATTATCTCACTTTCTTGACTGAACCTTAAATTTTACTTCTTCTGCCAGTTGTATCTTTTTAAGAGGCTCTGAATCCATATCCCATTTAATACAAATGTATGCTCCTGTTATATCTCCTAGTTTCATAGACATTTCACGTGTTAGCGGTTTTCTCCCCTTCGTTGAAATAAATAAATTAAATTAAATTACATAAATTAAGAATGTATTTTATTGACAGTTAAGAAGAATTGAGCCAAGATCTTCAGATTCATAGTAACTGCTACTAACCACTAAACCATCCTGTATCATCTAGTGCTGTCTAAAAAGTCGGCCTGGAGACCCTCCGCCCGTACACCCTTTAGCCTAAGGCGCCTGGGTGGCTCAGTAGGTAAGATAGATGACTAGTAATCTCAAGGCCCTTGTCCGATTCTTTGGATGTGCAATTATGTTTCTTGGCACGTTTTTTTCGCATCTCACGTTTTCTATTATTCTCTCACCTACTGGAGAACACTGTTATCTCTAACCAAAATTTGTCTTGTTTCCCAATTCAGAGGTCACCGGAAAAGTGCAACAAATCTCTCGGTTCTCTCGTTAGTTTAGCAGTAAAAAAAGATAATGGGCGGTTTTTTTTCGCGGGTTTGATTCTAATCGGTCAGTGGTTTTGGACGGCCGGCTAACCTTGCGGTTTTTGATCAAAAGATACTTGTTGGATAGTAAGGTGTGATTTAGACTTGGATTAAGGTTAAACTTTAGAAAAACTTGTTTAGTGAGACTTTTTTCAGATTTAGAATGAAAACTGGTTTAGAACGAAATCAAGGCATCGAAACTGTGAGCATCAGATCCTTAACTAACGTTAACCATTTCTAACCATTAGGCCAAACGCTCTGGAAGCTTCAATGTGATTCTGCAGGTGTCCTGCTTTAGCTCTAAAACGCTTCCCAAGCTACCAGAGCCGCTAGACCTCGACCCCTGCTAATCAGAGATTACTGTTACGTAGATGGCTAGATTAAACTAGTGAGTATTTGGATACTTATGCATAATCGGTTGCCTAGCTCTGACGCGTTTGTTGGTAAAAAAATTTAAAAATACGTTCTAGAAAATTTCGATGCTCAATGAGCAGTTTGTGGTGGGACTAAGCTCTGGAACATATTATGCCAAATCGTTATTTCGATCCGAACCATTCTAAAAAGATACTGTAAAGATTTGGCTGAAAAAAAACGTTGATTTTTTCGACACATATTTTTTTTGTCGCAAAAACAATCCCAATTGACGTAGTAGAAACCTAATTTTGCATAGCACACTAGACCGCCAAGTTCAAAATATCTTCAAAGTCGACGATCATCTCCAATCCTTTCATTCTTAGCAATTTTGACGCAGGTACTCAGCTAGGCTCCACCCCCAAATAACACATGAAAAAGGCGGAGTCTCATGTCGTTCATCGCCTTATGTGCTCACCAAATCCCAGGGATTCTGGGACGGCTCAAAACCAATTGAAACGAGGATCATCCGTTGTCTTGGATAAAGAGAGAAGGAAAGGGAGGGGCTATATCCATTCATATCCGCCCTAAGAGCTCCACTCTTCCATTTTGCTTCTTATTATGCAATTGTGTTCAGTGAGAGGTGAGTTGAAACAAATTCTAAGGTTTTAGAAAGTTTCCATGGGACAACACACCATTAGAATCATTTATAGCTCAAAATGAGTTTCTAGGCGCTCCAAAAGCATTTTATAGTGAGGGCACGCCCTTAAAAGTCTATTAATGCTTCGTTGGAATCTTCAGGTAACGCTACCAAGCTCTAGTCTATCCGGGCGCAAGCACTTCGACGTTCTAGGTTACTGTGATAAGCGAGGTGGCGGCATAGTGGACTTGGACTCCCGCTTACGCTCTAGAGCCGCCATGGAGCCGACGGATGAACGGCTTTGTAGATGGTAGCGTTGGCTACGTATTTGAAGGTCCTCGGCTCAATACTTTTTGAGAGTCAGTATATTTTGAAAGTGGGAACTGTTTGGAAGACTGTAGCAGTCTATTCTGAAGTTTGACTTTTGAACAATTTTGCTCTTTCCTCAAGCTAAAAAAAAACCTTCCAAAATTTTCTTTCCACTTCATCTCACACTTAGCTTCCTCAGCCCTTCCTTCCTATGCACCCCCCTGAAATCAAAATCCTTACGTCATCCCAAGTCTCTATGCTTCTCTCAATTCAACATACTCTTTAACTCTCC